GAAACTATTACTTTAATTCAGCCAAATACATACATTATATATTATTTATATCATGAGAAAAATCTGCCTTACATAGCAAAGAGGTTGTTCCAACTGGCCTAGATTCATTCCTTTTGTCATTAGAGCTTTGCAGCCTTCTAGCTCCATCATTCACAGTAAACCCCTGTCTTGTGCCAGCATTAATTGACAGAAGCTGCATCAGTCACATATAGTGAGACACATGTGCATGGAGTTGAGATTAATGGAACACGGCATTCAGCTGTTGAGACAACATCAGACTGTTCGAGTTAAAAGACACAGCCATAGAGTGTTTGACCACAGTGAGACAAGAAAAGAGTGTTTTTGACCTCATTCGTTCAGCACAGTGTACTTTATGAAGCACCACAATCCAGCAGGGGTAAATTCAATGTACATTCACCACAGTCTTAGCATCCAGGGAGTGTCTTCAGCACATTCAGAAAGAAACAAACACCTCAGCCACATTTAAGGCTTTTCTCTTGGGGACAAGGTAAAATACACGCTCGCTGCTTAGGGTAGCAGAGTGGAAATATTAAAGTAATATTTCAAAGGAGAAAACCCTTTTTATTTTGAGCATGTATTCCCCAAATGATCTCATGAACAGTACTTATTAATTTGCACAATGGGGATGTCGACGTGGTAATATTACATTTAATGGGGAAATATTCAAAAAATGTCGCCTTTTCTTGGTAATTTGTAGGAAATGATATGGAGAACAGTGCATCCTGGGCTGGTGAACCATGCATGAAAAATTGAAGAGGAAAATCCAATTCAAAATCTCATTGCTTACTGTGTGAGTAGCATAGATGGTGGGTAGCTAGGGTTAACAGAGGTTTAGAAACAATTCAGTAGTGGCTGGCATTTAATTTTATAACAATATTAAGGGCTTTTATATTAGAAGTATATTCTTCATAGTAACCAAACACATACAACCAACAAAAATCTATCTTTTAACAGACACATTCTTTTTCCCTGACTTATATTATGTACCATTCTTTTCTTGGCCCATTTTCTTGCCTTTATTGCTATATGAATATGCCATGGTGACCACAATTAAACAGTTATATAACTTTGTAACACCAACACCCACCTTCTCCTTGTACCGATTTTCCCCTCTCAGTCAAACATAAGTGCAAGATCCATCTCTTATGAAGTGTGGATAGAAATACCACGATTTAGGTGTATATGCATTTCCTTTGTGAAGACAGGGCACATTTCAGTCTAGAGAGAGAAATAATATATCACTAGTAAAAGGGTCAGTGTCATTTTAGATAAAGCTTTTAGCATAGGCAGTCTGTGTGACTTTTACTTGAACCCTTTAAGTTATCTTTTTTTACAGTGTTTTATGTACAAATCAGGATGGCTAACCAACACCTGCTGATAATTACACCTAACATCAAGCCTTTGTTTCTTAGACAGCCAAGATTTCTGTCTCATATAAGAGTAAGGAAGGGAAGTCAATGAGACCATAGTACCTTTGGCAGCAGATGAATATTGGTGGTCTGCCAAATTCATCATATGCAAGGTCATTTTTTTGTCCATGTGCTCCTTGTTAATAAAAATTTGTCTTAAAATGTATCCACATGGGTGTTGTGGTGGCCTAGGTCCAAGTGTGCCATCTAACTGCAATGTTCTACTTCAAAATCTGATGGAAAACTAAGGAAAACTTTGTCACCCCCCCCCCTCTCCCACAATCTTTCCTGTCACTCTCTACTAGTCTCCCCCCTAAGTCCCCAAAAGTACTTGTATAATTGCATTAATGTTATGAGAATAAAACATGGGAATAAGGTCAGTTTTAATGTTGTGAAAAACAAGTCTTATTATTTTGAGACTGTCATCATTTTACAAAAATGAATAAGAATCAGACGTGGAGTAGTCAGTAAACAACTATTTCCTACATGTCAGTGGGCAGGAGGCTGTAACCATTTTTTGACACAATTAACTCCTGTTTTGTCCCCACTACTCTAAAGTAGTCTTGCATCATCAGCCCTTGGGCTCCTCCTTGCAGTCAGAATGACTCTGCACCTTCTTGACAAGTCAATCAGTTTACTGCGGTGGGAATTTTGTACAGCAGGTCTGTTCATCCTCAGCCATGACAATAATGTTACTATGCTATGCCAATAATGTATGTATGTATTAAGAGGGCTGGATATGGCGTGACAAATTCGGCCCTGCTGGCAATTTGCCCTGGTGGTCAAATATGATACTGCAACAAAGGGTTTCCTGTAGACAGGGGTGTTTTAATAATATTAATTAGGGCTGCATTGCAATTTGGTGTTCAAGTTCCAGGACACTGGTATTATGCATGCATGCTCACTGCTACGGCTTTCTGAGACCCTTTTTTTGTCCCCGATCCCCATTTAATATTCAGTACTTGCCGAAACCTAGTCCTTATCCAATACTTGTATTTTCCTTAATAATACAGGTGATTCGCTCCGCATTGCGTTAAGAAAAAAAATGTCTGCATCCAAGCTGTTCCTTAAAGGTTTTTTGTACTTATACTACTAAATGACAAAGTAGACTATAAAATATCCAAACAAATGTTACACAGCACAAAAACAACCCTTGTGAAAGAGCTGTTTTTCTATTAAAACCCAGAAAGCCTGTGCAGTAGTCTGAGGAAGTGAGCAGCAGTGAGGAGAGACTTTAGAACTGTACATTTCCTCCTTGGTCTGTGAGAGAAGGAAAGACTATACAGTTTTGTACATGTGTTGCTAATAGTGCAAGGCAGGGGACTGACTTAGTGAACACAGGGCTAATGATAGTGCCTTATCACTGATCACCCAGGTGGCAATTTCAACCCTGCAGTAAATCCACTATAAAGATAGTTTCACCAGCTCTTCTTTTCATTTAGAGTGACTCATAATTCTGTCAGGTTTTATAGATAGTATGATATTTTCTCAATTTGTTCAAGGCTTACGCTGCAGGTGTAGCTGACCTATTGATCCACCATTAAAGTGAGGTTAAGGCTGTGGCTACACTGTTTACTGGTGAAACTCACACATGCCACATACGGCATTACATAGAATGACTTTCAATTGTGTGCTGTATTTGACTTGTGCTCATATTTTACCGTTTCTGCATTGTTGTCAATATAATGACACACAAAAAGAAGTCACTACTCAACAGTGGCCCTGAGATCTTTCCCATGTTGCTTTCCAATTAAGTAAAGGGGAAATAAAAAAAATCCTACTGACAGCTTCTCCTCTGGCAAATTCACATGGCTTTATGATTCAGCAGTGAAAATGATAAGATGGAAAATCCTGATTCTTTCACTGGACATAGAAGGTTAGCTCTCGGCCATCTCAATGTGAGCTGTTGTATGTGATCTGAATGTGATAAACAATGTTGATAAATGATCCATGAGTCCCTAGGTGAATTCACATAACCTGAATTTGGCATTCCATAAAAGTTATTATGACAACAAGGGCATTGATTACTCTTTAATGCTTTACAAATTTAATTAATACTGTATAATATGTGACTAATGATTGTATTCATTGTTGATTAATTGGCCAATTATTTTCTCAGTTAAGTGGTTAATCATTTAGTCAATAGAATGTCAGAAAATACTGGTTATTCCTTGTAAAGTTTCCCAGAGTCTGTATTTCAAAGTCAAGCAACAAATCCTAACACTGGAGAGTTGGGAGTTCTTGCTTGATATACCAACTATAAATTAATAGTTGATCACAATAGTTTATTCGGCAATTGACCCATAAAATGATAGTTCCAGTTCTAATTATAAAAAAATAAGTTAAGTTAATTAAAGTTAATAGCTCATTCAAATTCTGTGCATCTACATGACAAAGGCACATAACATGCCTTTACTGTGGTCTTGCGTATAGGGTCAACTTGGAGAATACTGGGTCTGTACCCAACTCAGAATTTTCTAATCAGATTGGGCTGGTCAATACAAAGATTCAACTATTTGTTGTTTTTTTTCACTTCAGCGCCACACTAAATTCCTATATCAGCCTACACGAGTCTCATGTTTTAGTCTACCTCACGTTTTAATGCCTGTCTTTGTCATCTGTGATGTGAAAAGAGATTTCCACAGTTATAGAACCTAAACATGTGGTGTTGACAGTTCAGTTATAGAATTCCAGTGCACCACGCAGCGTCTCTCCTGCTGGGCTGCTAACAGCGCTGTCAGCCTGAAGAGTCAATCACCGTGGACGGCAGTAGAGGAGGTTGTACCACCATCTGGTTCAAAAGTGGTTTAGTCATCACGGGAGCAGAGAGCATCGGAGCAGTGGCCTCCATTTCTATCGCCCTTCTCTGCTTCCATCAGAGTTAGTTTTGTGGTGTGTGATCATTTTACGACTTTGTTTATAAAGTGTACAGCCTGCTATGCTGTTTCCCCTGCGTTGTTCTGTGTACAATACAGCTGAAACGATACCTTGAGTAACTGGATTACTAAAAATCGTTCATGCAAAAGCTTTGTTTATTCCATACAAGTTCTTTTGCACGGGTGATTATTACTGTCACGCAACGCGCTTTGGGAGAGAGAGAAAATGGCAAGAGACGAAGAGAAGAGACTGTCCAGAGAAAAAGATAGAAACTTAACTTAACTGAACTAGCTTAGTACAATAGCACTACCTCAATGCTTCCCTGTGAAAACTTAGCAACTACAAATAATTGTTTTTCCAGAGAAACAAATCACTAAAGAAAACACGATCAATCATCTAATTTGTGCGTTTTGCAGCTCCGAAACGTATTACCTCTGGTAACCTGAGCTACCCCTCACACACCGGGAAATACTTAAAACAAACCTGCTAGACTCCATCTTCCTTAAAAGGGAAGGCTCGGCCGGTAACACTCAGGTAAAGGCCGTGGGTGTGCTAACCAGAGATGGAGGAAGGATAATAAGGATTATTCATATGATTATTATAGTCATTACCCATTTATGGAAGAAGATTTTCTTTACATATACTCTTTATATTGAATTACTAATGACACATGCTAAGAAGAAACAGCAACACTTTATTAGCAAAACAGTCTTTTATTAGAAATATCTTGTATAAAAATGAACATGCTCTACACATTTTTTTTTCCTATAGATAATTCATAAATATCCAGGCACTGTAATTCTTTTTTATCTTTCTTTTTTTAAATAATTCAGTACATAAAGCAGACATGATCAATCCATTTTAATAACGTACATTAACTTGCCATTTAATTTCAGTCAGCACTTACATATTCTATTTTGTAACACAGACAAAGTGTTTTAGAAAAATAAAGGGGGTGGGGGGTTGTGGCAAAAAAGCATTAAATTATCATATTCACAAACACAAACAATCCCACAAACAATACTTTATCAAATGATGAGAAAAAAAACATTTGCGGCAACACCCTAGACTTTTGTTGAAGCTGAGAGCTGAGAGAATCATTGATTAAACCAAAATATTAGTTATTTATAATCCTCTGCAGTAGTTTTCCTTCTGGACATTATACATTTCTCTCAAATTGTTCACATGATTTGTTATGAGTTTTGACATGCAACATACATATTTTTGCATTGTTGAGGATAACATTTAATGAGACAAATTCCAGAGTTACTGTTTATGACAAATACTTCAGAGACTGCAGACAGAAATGTATTCACACTTAATTATAAATTGTACACTGAATCCTCTCTTCCTTGTGTTTGAACAGAATGGATGCAACATAAACAACACCATGAAGGATCCATGGAAAGAATGGCAGGAGTAGTTTAATGTGTATGAGGCACAGAATGAAGGCACTGGCCCTTAGTTATCAAGCACCTATACATCCCCGTTTTTATCTAAAAATGAGAGGTTATATTTTACTGTGAAAATCAATTAGCAGTCAACAGCTGCCTTCTTGCTCATCCTTATACACAGAGCATTTGACGGTAAAACTAGACTTCAACTAAGTCTAATAATCACTGGTCTTTTAGCTGTGTTCTAAGGGTCGCTAGATACTGAACTTTCATTTTCATTCACTGGTTTACTTCATTTCTTTGCTGTATGATTCTGGGTAAATGAACACCTATACTTTTATATCAGTGGTTGGTGGAAGCCTTAAGACTGGCCAAAAACCCAAACAATGTGCTAAATGAAGCTAAACGCTGCATAGAGCTGCAGATTTTAGTGTTAATTCTCAGTGGGGTCCACATTATGACCGAACCTGTCACTTGATGCAGGTTTACTGTAACAAAGTCTGCCCCTGGCAAAATTAAGTGACTATTGCATGTATTTATTTGTGAAAATCTGACCTTTTAAAATACTATTCCCAAGGAACATAACATAGGCTATAGGGTTAGCCCTATAAAGGTCGTATTGAGCCTGTTGAAAGGTAAAACACTATGCATGTCATTTACCTAATTATCTTTCAACATTTTGGTTGTTGATGGAACTGAGCTTACACTTTCTCCAAATGGGTATACATGCTGAGTAGCTACATGAGCCTAATTTGGAACCTAACATTTTTTTAAACCACTCATTAATCATTTCCAGTGTAGCCTCAAAATTCATGACCCAGAAGAGGAAGAATCCTTTGCAAGAAACACAGATTACCTGTACATCTACCACAAACACCCATGTAATACTGTGAAGCTTTAAAAACAATGTATCTGGCATGACAACAGACTGTTGTGTTGTTTTATTCCTTAAAAAAACAGAATATACTTCTAGTACCACTGCTATATTTATTAGGAATTTATTTTTAAATTATATATCTTAAAACATAGAACTCTACAAATATAGAAAACACAGGGTAATATGGAAATACAATTGTATAGTGTAGTTTTTGGAGGGAATGCCAAATGCAAATGTGTTATTATTTTGTTAAGAAATGGAAGTTTAAAATGGGGAAACTTCTCACAATCCTCCAACTGCTTGAATTTGCGGCGGCTTTAACAAGCGCATGATAAGTAAGGGCCAATAAATCCGGCATGTCGACAAGTCTCTAAGTCCTGACTGACATTTATGGAGTTTGGTGTAAACTATAAAGGTTTTCCATGGCAATTTGTTTTTAGTTTTGCTCCTTTTGTGTTTGAAATTACTCTTTATTCAGCAGAGGGTAATCCAGTGGGTAATGGTCCAAAATGACATCTCCACTGTGAATGACAACCATGACAAATGTTGCATTCCATAGACGTTGACAACACAGCACAGTACACGTGATGCTCCCACAAGCATGCTCTGGGACTGTACACTAGGTTTGCCATGATGATGGCATCATCATCATTATTATGAAACATTTATAAAAAAAACTAGGATGACCCACTGCTTTATCTTCCGGTGTTTCAGATATGGTTAGTTCATGTAGGAATACTGAATGTACTGTAGTAAGGCATGTACAGTTTGAAGAGTACTGCAGCTTTCAACCTCAATAATACCAGTAACCAAAAATAATGACTATATTTTTATACTGTTTCATCTTGTGAACTGCATTTGACTTAACAAAAACGGAACACTTTTTCCCCCTGTTTTTGCTGAAATGAGACAAACGGCTCAGCCTCAGAGAGAACTGAAATTGTGTGCTATACACTTCAGAAGGAAAACATACTGTAGGTTTCAGGTGGTTCACTCAGCCTGCATATTGGAAACGTCACTATTCAACGCTCACTTGTGTCTCAGAAAGGGTGGGAAGAGGAAAATTACCTTACATCTCCCATTTCCTTCCTACAAATCTACTAATTTCTCATAAATTTGGCATTCAAGCCTTTACCTGATTCTCTAGAAAAATATGACATCCTTTCTGTTTATGGAGTGACAAATTCCCATCTTTCCACCCCAGTCCTCTCTTCTATAGCAGCTTGGAAGTCCTCCAGTATTTCCCTAGTGTTCCCCAGAATCAGGTGATTTCTTCTCAGGCAGGCTCTTGCTTCGCTTCCAAGGTTCGTCTCTGGTTTAGATGGCATGGTTACTGTAGCTTATGTATGTCTGCTTGGAGGCCAACACTGTAAGTTAAGGTAGGAGAGAGAAGGAAAGGGTTAAAGACGTTATAGGTGAGATTCAATAGCCGTGAAACAGCTAATCTTTCAGAGCACATGTTGGAGTCCTGATTGATGGGAAGTTCTATTTATGGATGACTTCATCAAACGAGTGCAGGTGGAACCAATCATAATAGCAGGGTGTTGTAATGTAAGAACTGTATCTCCTCTATCATTGTAATGCATTTAAACTGTTATTTGTGAAGCTGAAAATAGAAACGTGACTGTAATTCAATATAAACTCATTGATGCAAGAAATGCAAAATTAAAAAAAATATATTAAAAAGATTAGGTTTCTAACTAATGCTTATTTCCATTACTGATTAATCTGTTGATTGCTTTCTTTATTAATCAATTTATTAGTCTGTCAAAAAAAACTGAAAAGAATCTTGAGCTCAAAATTACATTTCTATCAGATTGATAGTTTTGTCTGATCAGCACTGAAACAAAGATATTCAATGTGCTGATATAAAACAGGAAAATTTAGAAGCTGGAATCACTGAATATTTGGGATTTTTGCTTGAAAAGTAGTTAAATGATTAACTGATGATTAAAACAGTTACTGATTAATTGTATGTTGATCGACTAATTGATTATTCAGAACAGATTATTGAAACTAGTCGGTTCTAAGAACAGATTTTACACAACAACAAAAAAAACTACTGTTGATTGTTGTGCAAGTTATAGTACTGGTTATAGTACATGGTAACAGCTTTTAACAATATATTAACGTGAAATATTTGTCAGTGATGCAGATGCAATCAGAGTCATAGGCTGTGGCGATGGTCATATCAGTGTTAGTACCTGCTATTACGGTACCATTAATGAAATAAGGAAAAACTCTGTCATATTGTTTTCCTCACAGCTGATTTAATTCTTAAATTGTATTAAAATATGCATCATATAGAGTCACCAAGCAGATCACAACAGTGGTATAAAATGCAATAGTAACCATTCAAATGCAAGTCTTTTACCACATGCAAAGACCTGAGATTTCTCTGTGCACCAAGCAACACATGCAGCAGTCAGTAAGTGTATAAACAGTTTGAAATATAAAACGTATTAGATTTAAAATGCTATTAAGACATACGTGTGATCTGACTTGGAACTGTAAGTGTTGTCATCAATGTTTTACAACAGTCCCTATTATTCTTTAACAGTCTTTTCATGTTTCATGGAATTTTACATCAGCTGTGAATAAAACACCTAAGACAGATTACCGGAAGGCAGACCACAGTGACCATAACAAGCCCAAACTGCTGGTAAAATGTGACCGTCATACCATACTGTACCCGTGTGTATGTGTGCAGACATGCTTCTGTGCACACATATGTCTGTATGCAAGTGTCATCGTGTACGTGTGTGTCATTTCTTTTAAATAAAACTGCCCTCAGCGAGCATGCTTGGTGGTGGTAATCACACTACCAATCTGCCAATCTGCCCACAGCAGCCGTGGCTGATTGAATATGTCAGAGGGGATGAATCCAATCAGAAGACAGCTGAAAGCCAGAGTCGGGGCAAAAGTGCTGTTGAGGAGAGATGTGTAATGGTAAACGTTTCTGTATATTTGTCAGTGCTATGTTGGGTGTGTGTATGGGGGCGGTATTCTCGCCATTTCATCCAGAGCATCTATTCCAAGAGAAGCATTGATAAATGAACCTTATTTGAATATTTATGTGCTGCAAGGCCAAGATAAAGAATAGATGGTCCAGAAAGAATTGGAGCTGGCAGACCCATCTGTCTTTTTCTGTTCACTCTTATTGTTGTTGTTGTCCCATTACCGCAAATTCCTTCTTTTGTCAACAGGGAAACAAATTACAGGGGACACATGGCTATCGCTTGTCTCCTGCACTCAGGCAGAGTGGTGTCATCTTCCCACATTAACAGGCTTTACCATGCTGATTGGCCATTTTACAGCACCACACACCAATATTGTCTATCCAAGTTAATGTCTGTTGGTCCAGGGTGGATTTGTGAGGGCGTGCTTTACTGCCTTGTTTCAGTCAGGGGTGCTGTATTTTAGCCAGGGGCAGCCGGGATGCTTTGTGCATAGTATAGGCAGGCACGGGCGTTGTGGTGAACATTAGCAGAAATGAACAGGATAAGAGTGGTCAAAGATAATAAGAGGGTAAAGTCATTGTCTAATCAGGTTACCTGAGAGTCTAAAGTCCCTCACAAGGCTCCCCTCCCTCAACACAGTCTGACACATAAGCACAAAAAGGAAGTTGTTAGATTCACAGTTCAATCCAGAGGGTGAGAATCAGCACTTATGAATGGGCTCTATAATTGGATAAGATATAACCACTCCATTCTGAGGTCGAAAAAAAAAAAGGCATACATGCAAGTGTGGGCGCAGGCTTTTTAGTCCTAATACACACTGTTCAGCTTGTCAGAGTATAAAATCAAGACTTTCAGTAATCAGAACATGTTGGGTTGCTTGATTGGATTTAAGCCTGCCCCCACACGGGGACTGCCTACTCATATACTTTATCTTGGTGATTGAAATATCCTCTTTTCCAACACTAAGCCACCCGTCTTTTTAGTCCCTTTCAAAATCAGACTAGTGTGGGCACCCTGTCACACCTCTTGATTCACAAATCCAGTGTGGTAAAAGTTAGTGAGAATGGAAGTATTTTTCTGCTCCATGTATTCAAAATGCAGGATTATCCGGGTGAAACAGAAAAGTTACTTCCTGCCTTTTTCACATGTTTTTTGCAATTTCCATATAGCATATGTAACATCAAATCTTATATAAAATACTACTGGAAGTAGACTGGATACTACTGCTTTATCTCAGAAGAGTAATTTGCTGTGTGAGATATATTAATAAACTCTAGGCTACAACAATTACATTGACCTTCCATTGATGATCAAGGAAATAATTATAATGTGGAACTGGGAAAACCCCAGTCCTATATTAGCTTGAGGCTAATTTGCAATCACTCCTATGAGTTCTAAGTATTCACACAATTCTGTTTATGTCATCTGCAATGGCTCACATTCAAAAAGACGCCATAGTACAACACCACTTTGTTGGCACTGAAATGGCACTCTAATTTCTTGCATGCTCATGTAAGGCTTGCTAATTTCCCAAACTGCTGAAGTGCAAAATAACACTGCCATCAATTATGTTCACATAAAAGGAGTTCATTATTTCAGAGTAGACATGTGTATTCTATAACTGCTATTATTTTACAAAGAAATAGCTCAGTGCATCACCATAAATCAACTCCTGTTTCAGGTCCACTGGAACACATTTCATTCTTTCTCTTTATTGCTCCATCAGGCATGATACCAACCTTGTGTTTCAAGACTTTCACAGAGTTCAGACTTGGCCTCTCCATTGGGCCTCAGGCCGCCTTTAGGGTTGAACTTGTTGGACATGGTGGCTGCAGTGACCACAGCCTTCAAGCTGCGCTTCCGCTTAGGTACGTTCTGCTCTGGATGGAAGAGAACCACGTAGACCTTAGGCATGTAGAGCATTCCCAAGGAGACTGACGCACTGAGGCTTACAGAGATGGTCAGGGTTGTGGTCTGGATATACATCTGTATTATGGGAGAGATAGTGGAGACACAAACAGTATCATTTGTTGAGGCTATAAAGACTGAATGGACATGGTCATGTTCTTGTTTTAGAACCTTAGGTTAAGCTGTGCACACAATAATAAAGGCTGTTCTACTTAGAGCCTGCACAGTTTGAATTTAGTCCATCAAAGAAAATTTAATTCATATATTTTATTCTGAAAGCCAATTTTCTAATAAAGCTGCAGGAAGAAGAATGGTTTCTGGAGCATGCAATTGCTTTCAATAGACTGAGCTTTGAAAGTCTTGCCTATAGAACATACATTGAATTACTCAAGTAATATTTTAATCACAGCTTCATACGTAGGAGAACTCAACTTTGCACAGACATGGGGATGGCATACGGTATCCTTTTATTTATATATTTTAATTTAATGTGCTGGGTTCATCACGCCTGAGATCTCCTTTCATTGCTATGTTTGTTTATTTATGATGTACAACTAATAGAAGTGCCCCCCTGATGTGTGTCTATGTAGTCTGCGTATAGATGTTTTTGCCCTGAGGTTTCAGACAACAGCATAAGGATTGTGTGCTTTCTGAAGTCAGTGACAGCTGCAACTCACAGCTGGGTAGCAGATATATAGCTACTGGCAACAACTGTGGAGCGGAGAGGAACATCCTACAGCATATTAAAAGTGCCTGCAAGTGATTTTTCATTTATGATAATCATCCCAGAGCTCAGACACACTCTATCTCTGATTTGTTGATGCAGGAAATGTGGTGAGTCAGCACAGATCTGTAAAATATCTAATAGGTAGATCATAGTTGATACTGAAACACTGCGAAATATGCTTTACATATGAGGTGTGCAGACCCCAAAAATATGAACACATGATTCCACATGGTTTATTGGTAGTGTTATATCATTAATAAACATAATACAAATCATCAAAGTAATGGATCTGAAGACTTGTTTCACAGTTATCCTACCCAATCTTTTTGCAGTACCTTCGTAATATTTGAAAAGAACAGTTAACTTTGCCTCTTGGATTGAAATTGTTGAAGTTGATGAACACAAGGCTAAGAGTGTACAGTGGAAACACAGCTGGCGGACATCCTTCAAACAGATTTGCCTGAGGTTTTGTCTGACATTACATTTGCAGACATCACAAATGACTGAGTCGTTTGGCATCGGAATAGCCCACAGGGCCCTGAACCTCTAGCATGTCAACAATTATAAATTAGGTTTCCCAACATGGGGTTATGAAATATGTTGTTTGTATGTAAGCTCGTACAACATTTATCTTTTCATTTCAATATGCTTACAGATTTCTTTATAAACATTTACAGCACCATGATCATCTAAGCATTATTTTCCCTATCTGAGTGCTTTGTGTATGCATGCTAGATGTAGGACATTATTTTAAAATCAAATAAATTGCGTGACCTGTCATACACAATACATGTTGACGTAATAAAAATAACAACTCTAGAGACGCCTTACACAAATTAAGCCCTCTAAAGCCGTGTCAGTTGAGGAAAAAAAAGATGTCAGAGCAAAGCAGAAGTGATAGGGCATTGTATTCCCTCAACATGAGCATTCGTAGGTGATGGGGGGGGAGTGTTGTAATCTCCTGAGAAGATTACACATGGCCTGGGGTGAGTTCGGAACAATATTGCTACCCCTCTGGAGTACAGAGAGGAGTCACTCTGTGAGGGGAGCCAAGACCCTTGTCCACTTCCATCGGCCCTGGTGACATAAATTTTCACTGACACGCCGATATGATTGCCAATCTGCTCCATCGGCACAGCAAGAGAACTGGGCTGGGAACAGAAACCTCAGCGGGCTGAGCCATTATGAACTTTCTTTGAAGCAGGATTGCTCCTTTTTGTCATTAAGCATCAAATCCCTTGTCCAGACAGCTGCCAAAACTGTCTCTACCTATATGCAAAGCATGTTAACAGGAACACACTTCCACAGCTCTACTGAGTCCTTGTACTCAAATATTCTGGCTTAGAGTTTTCTGACTGTAGAAGAAAATAGATTCAATTATTTGCTAAATTGTCACAGATCAGAAAAAAAAGCACAGGTGTAAATATTAAAATCAATGATCGCTGTATTCCTTCTTACAGTAGCTGCTTCAGGTCCACGGCACTAGCATTGTGCATGCTGGCTCACTGTCACAATGTCATGGCTGACTGGGACACTGGGACAACAAAGCCATTATTATTGCCATTAGTAACACCTGTGCTTTTCCAATTTTAATATATGTGCTACCAAAGTAACACACCTGTGCTTTTGTTACTATGATGAGTCACAGTTACTGCTGTGAGAAAAGCGTATTAATTCTAATTTGGATTGGCCCCAAAATGGTAACGTAAGACTTTCTTTAGAATGGGGACAACACAGTTTAAAGGGGCCACATACTGGTAAGTCATAGAATATTATGCTGTGTTATTATTAAATAATGAGTATTTCAATCAAACAAATACATTTTATAAATATTCACACTTAATAAGAATGGATTCATATTTAATCATGTATATAGGAAAATACTTAATGAATATATGAACTTTATGAAACAGGATACAATCCATCTGGGGGAATAAAAGTAAATAGTTTCTTTGAAAAATATTCAACGTGATAGGGTGTTTATTGTAATCACTTATAGTTTGTGGTGTTCTTCTACAGTTAGACTGTCTAATGTTTTATTTGATAGTGTAAATTGATATGACCTTCATTCTTTGTGATACAAGATAGCAAGACATTTGGCTTTGGCTTGAAGAACTGTTAGAGAATGATTTCCCCTCACAGTTTATCCACCTGCTCTTCAGATTATTCGTATCTGGCTGCCTGTTTCCTCACTGGCTGTGTGTCCATGCATGGAGTAATGTAGTTACTGGGGAAAACGTTTTTACATCAGAAATAAGAATGGCAGGATGGCAGACAGAGAGTTTTGCTCTCCAAATTCTCTCTTCCTGATCTCCATGATGAAATGTACTTCCTGTGTTACTTGGCAGCTTGGTACTGAGGTAAGAAAAGGTTCAGATGACTGAATTTTTAGATTATAGATGTGTTATATGTATCTAAAGTTACTAGTGGGCTGCTGTAGTAAAATGTCTCATTTGGAAGAATGATAGTCACCAAACATTTACTGGAGCAACTGTTCTTAATATTACTGGTTTACTACAACTATATTTTGTTTAAATTAAGAACAACAAAGTGTGTCCATCCCTAAAAAGGGCAGAAACACTATTTATATTTTAATAGGTGAATTTGCCTTTACTATCACTTTGCCCCCAACCATGCATACTTTACCTTGCCTTTTAACACGCTTTTATGCTGTTGGCAATTTAAAGGCTGCTATTAAGTTTGTTATTGTGCAGCACCATGGCATTCCCATACTGATGCTTCTATTGCGATCAGTAGCTTGACATTTCCACTCTCTGCTTTTTAAATGTACATCTGTGTTGAGCAACCTCAAAATTAGCACTTGTAAGAGGTAATTTGTGATTCACTTTCAACTGACAAGAAACATCAACAGCCACAGTAATTTTATGCTACTTCACAAACCTGCGTTATCCATTTCTGTGTGCATGAATGTGCAATGATTGACTACTCAGTATTCCCACCCAGTGAGGCTGAATCAATCACACACACAGAAACACAATTAAAGAAAACATATCCAAGCAAACTTGAGGTGAATGAATTATTCTTACAAGTCGACTCTAAAAGCCTTGTAATCCCGACAGTGGAGCACAAAGCCCATCATCTCATGATGAATAGTGGCAGCATCCACAAACACAAGAGGCTGATGCTATACAACAAACATAATTTAAGTAGCCATTTTCTTCACAATGAGGCACACAGGAAATGTAAAAGAACTCCAACTGGACAACTGACATCTGACATGCATGTATGAATTCAGTTGACTAGCTGCCATGGTGCTCTTTGTAATTACAGAACAATCGGTGAAAGCTCATTGACTGCATAAGCATCTGATTTAAAACAATGAATTGTAAAAAAAAATAGGACAAAACTTTGTTGGTTATTTTATATTTGCACCACATTTGACATGGAATACTTACCTTTTCTGCTGATTGTGAGGTCCCAAAGAAGATGGGGATAAAGGCAAGCCATACGATGCAGGTGGTGTACATGGTGAAGCCGATGGGCTTGGCCTCGTTGAAAGTCTCGGGAACCCCTCTGGTCTTGATGGCGTAAACTGTGCAGGTGACCATCAACAGCATGCTATAACCCAGCAGACAGATGAGGGACAGGTCTGATATATCACATTTCAGAACACCCCGGGCCATTTTAGGATTGGCTGTACGCTGGTCCTCGTAGTCGATGATTGCTTGTGATGGGTCAACACCAAACCAGATGCACACTCCAAGGAGCTGCACTGATATCAGGCTGAATGTGATGACTAACTGTGAGGCTGGGGAGATGAATCGAGGGGCACTGACCGACATCTTGCCCTGCTCAAAAATCCTGTAGATCCGATTTGTCTTGGTAAGCAGTGCTGCATAGCTTATGCTCATACCCAGGCCCAGGAAAATCCTTCGCAGGGAGCATATAAACACATCAGGAGTAGAGATCATGAGGAATGTTGTAGCATAGCACAGAAAGATCCCTGTCAGCAGCACATAGCTCAGTTCTCGACCTGATGCCTTAACGATGGGTGTGTCATTGTAGCGTACAAAGGTGACAACCACAAACAGAGTGGCCATGATGCCCAGGACAGCGATGAGGACAGGGATGACTGCCCACGGGGAGCTCCACTCCAGTTTGACAATGGGAATGGGATCACAGCCAGTGTGGTTCTCATTAGGCCTCAAATCAAAGCGACACATCTTACAGGTGTAAGTGTCTGCCTGATACTGGTAACCATCACAGTTCTCGCAGTGCCAGCAACATGGAATTCCCTTCACTGTCTTCTTGCGCTGCCCCGGACGGCAGGGTTGGCTGCATATAGAGGAGGGGACTTCTTGTGTTGCACCAGGCCACTGCATCTCATTGGTCTGAAGGGAAACGTATAAGACATGAGAGAAATTTGCAGAAATTACCAGTTTATACTAACATTATTGTATTAAACCAAAGGTAAATAAACACTGTGCCAAGTCATTTTAGCAAAAACATTCGCACAATTTACTTCATAATGTTACATTAGTTACATATTAAACAACATGCTACATAATGCATGAGGACACAATTCAATTAACACTTGGTAGATTAGTTTACACACACAGAAGTGCATGATAGAATGAACAAACTGTAAATGGGATATTCACCACATGAAAGCTGCAGTCTTTTTATCAAGACGTCATTGTGTAAACTCATTGAATTATAACTCAACAGGAAACAACTTTGCTGTTTAATTACTTCCAAGGATTGTTGCACTTACTGGAGAAAAGATAAGTAAATAGAGTCTAGCTGCGTGGTACTGCAGTCTTAACACAGCGGAGTGCAGTATCGTGTGCCTGTGCTGTTGCACTGATATTTATTTTTAATACACCACAGTTTTCTTGAGAAGCTTTTATTAAGTAAAATAGGGTGTGGAAAGGGATTGGCAATATTCAGTTATATTCATTATTCAAATAAACATCTGGATGGTTTAGATGATTGGTTTTGCATCTAAAAAAAATCTCCATATGGCATTCTTGATTTTCCTTGGAGGTCTCTTCCATGCAGGTGATGCTGATAAGTCGATACAGCAGTAACTCAGGACCTTGATATCTACGATAATCTAATGGCATACCCACCGTATGTGGGTAAACATAATAAGAATGCCCAGGGGCTCATGTAAAAATTATGCATAACAACAAAACATATGCATACACATTGTCCCTCAAAGTTTGACATTTAAAATAAAGCAATGACAGCAGACTATGTGCTCCATGCATATGCATATGTTGAAAAGGAAACTGGTGTATTACTGTATCATGTAATGATTGCAAATTAAAACAAGGTTAATGCAAATAAAATGTCCTTTGTGTCTTTACTACATTGTAGAGCTACTACCAGCTGTGACTGGAAATGGAAATGAAAATACTGTACAACATGCCCTAAAGCTTTTGTTAGCCTGTATGTTTATAAATTCTAAAGCCAACCAGAAAGAAGGGGATTCATCCTTAATATTATTATGTTGACTGTTGCCCTATAAAACTTGACTTAAACAAGATGCATACAGAATAATCTTTCATAACAGTGATAAGTTATGGGAAGGTGAATAAATGAAGCTCTATTATGTGTGGCAATGTTAGAGTTGCTGTATAGTAAATGTCACATAATATGGTTGTAAGTTAAGATGTACAGAGGCGGCTTTGGTACTGTTGGAGGAAAATAAACACATGAGAAAGTATATTTTGAGACCATGTTGACAATAGTCCTAATTGATAAAGTTGTGTTTCATTGCAAATGTTTTCTTGTAAATAATTGTCACAAATTCTATGATATGTCTAATGCCAATGAGTTCCTCTAACACATATCTATGGGACTCATGTTCACAACACCCATCTCTCCAGTTGGTGAAGCTACAGATTGTAGTTTTATTGCCATGTGCTTTTTGGATTTTCTTGTCAAGATTAAATGAGTTGAATTAGTAACAGCCAAATATGGGGTGTCTGATGAATCTGTTTGGCTGATTGTCACAGTCTGATGTGGATGTTGAGCATAATGACCAGCACAAAAATCTGTCAGTCGAGTTATTAGAAAAATTAAGCATACAATCTTTCAGACATATTTTAAGTAATATTTAAAATATTCATACATCTAAGTGGAGCTGATCTGTCCAGTGACCAATGATCTTGTATTCTGTGGTGTTATTTGTGATCTGGTATTGGTAGATTTCATAGCGACCAGGAGCATCTCCATTCACGTTGAAGACCACTGGGGTGCCAGCAATTCCTGAGGATGAAAAAAAAAACATTACTGCTGTTATCATTTTAGTTTTAGGAATAGATTTAAACTTAAAGCTTCAACTCCAGTGCTGTTCAATACAAAGTCAAGCCATTATTCTCATAATGCTCTGAGATTAAATGAGGCTGCAAGGGGACTTCAAGCCAATTCTGTAATAATGTTAATGATGGGAGCAAAATATATCTTGACAGCCATGTTTTCCTGGTCCTTTGAGGAGGGCCAGGGCTGCTGTCTGTTCATGTTCCCATATCATTTCACACTCCTTCATTCTGCTTATTGCCCCATTGCTTGTTATCCACAAGGTCCCCACTCAGAGTGCTAACGAACGACAGCACTGATTTTGATTACCACTTTGAGGTCTCTCTCAGCGCAGACCTACAAACCCCCTCTCCAGCCTCACCACTTGTTATTAATTTGTAGTATGAGGGAACGAGGATTCACAGATTTAGTGATGAGACCACCACAGAACGTCTCTGAGGAAAGGACCATTAATAGCATTCCCAACTCTGTCTATTTGGGCCTATAAAATGTGCTTTCTTCCCCTTCGATGCAATCTCCTTATACTCAGCGGTTCTGTAACATGTTGAAATGAATTGGAAAAAAAAAAAGCCCTTAGCAACTGAAATGTGTTTTGGATTGCTCACAGTCAATATTTGGATGTTGTGTACAGTAGATTCTAGTGCTACATCATTGACTGCATTTTTCTGCAAAAGAATAGGGAAATACATCATGCCCGGACAGTTTTCCAGCATTTGGGAGAGAAATGTTCATGTTACACAACTATTGACTACACTCTGTTCTGTTATGAGAATAAAGGGAATTATTTATTTGAGTGTTTTGTTCACCTTAATAGGTCACAGTATTGATTGTTGTTTGAACCTTTGAGTCAGAGTTGGAGACCTGTGAGTCAAGCTATGTGACAAGACTTATTTTCTCACTTCTGCGGATAAGTGTGTATCAGAAGTCTGTTTAAAACCCATAGGATTTAATTGCATTACCATCATCCTGCTGCATTATCTAGAGGGCATGTGTAAGACAACAGCAGGCATTCATGTGCAATTATGAAGATTTTCTTGCCCATCTCAGCAATACAGGGAATTGAGTGGGATGTATGTTTTCTATTAATTTGATTTCCTTAATCGATTAGTTTCACCTCTTAACTTGCAAAAAGGCATCGCAGGTTTCATGCAAAGCTGGCAAAAAATAACAAACTGCTTGTTTATTAAACAACTGATATTTTTGAGGAAACACTACACAAGATAACTCTTAGTTATGAAAGCAATGTAATCTAGGAAAACCCATCTACTGCCCAAGTGCACTGAAAATAAAATAGTAAATAAAATTGTTATTTTAACTCTAAATGTAGTTTATAACTGTGTGTGTGTGTGTGTGTGTAGGACTCTATGTTAATGCATTGAGAGCTGAATTAACACCAATGTACTATGTACTCCATTAAAAGCCATTAGCCATAGCTATAAGAAATCTACTATGCTGATCAAAATAAGATAGAGATTTTGCCACTGAACTTTAGTTTCACTTTAGAAGTACAGAGGTGGCATCAGTGAACTCAACTTATTTGATGGGTTGTTGATACAAGCTAAGGAAAACATAATTACCACACTCTCTTCATAGATACAAAGCAATAATTTAAAAACACCAAGATTCAAAGCTGTCAGAGACTGTAATTTATTTCTACTCCAAGTGGAGGCTGAGCCTTACATGGTAATTAGTCATTCAATTGGGCAGAGTTAAGGGCCAACACTGGGGTAAATTATCTTTTCAGTGTTCCCTCTTTTATGACACTGACCTCAGAAATACTTTAGTCTTTCAAACTGCATTATACCCTCACAATTTGCTGTACTGTGCTTAATATTCCTAGTTCCCTAGATGGGCAAGATCCATTATTAAGCATTATACAACAGTATAATTTGAGATCCTATTATAGGTTGGGGTGCTAGTTAGTGTTGGTTTGAACAGAGAGATGCAAAACAGTGGCTGTTATTTGTGCTACACATCTACAGCATAACCCTTTTAACATGGCTTAATTAATGTACTGCTAATTACTCCACCATATATCTTTAATATATGATCATGCGATTGAATTTACTTCCAAATTAAACTAAAATTAAATCAAACCTCAGGAAAACAGCTTTAAATGACTGTTCGAATCCAGTTACAGCCACCCTTTAATCACAACACTTTTAATGTGGCTTTACTATCAAGTTTATGTCTTGCAAGGTTACTTTGTAAAACAAAATGTCCTCAGGAAAAATACCATTAAGGACCACTGAGTTTGAACTATTTCTGTATATAACAGGCAGCAGTTTCGTTCAGCATCACTGGGATCACAATCTCAATACCATGCATCAATAGGTATCAACTTCATCTACAGTATCTGTAGTGCTTGGGTTTCCTCTTTCCTTTAGTCAGCATGGATGTCTACAGGCAATTCCCAGAATACACTGGGATCATGTGGACATTCCTGTTGTTTTCCTACAAACCTTTTAAATCCTCCATTCCTCTGTGCCCAAAGACTCTTAAAAGCAAGACAGTATTCCGGTAATGTGCAGCATTGATTTTTCTAGCCATCCCTGTTGTAACCCCAATGACTTTAGTGCTGACAAGCCTTCCAGTAATATAACACAGTGAATAAAGGAATGTATAAAGAACTGTAGTTTAATTCTGTAACAGTAACCTGCTTTAAAGCATTTCAGAGTAAAGCTCACTCCAATGCTGGGAGAATTGATCTTCACTATCCTGAAGTCCTATTAAACATGACTTCAGGATACAACTCCAAACATTTTTTTTTTCTTTTTTTCTTTTACACAAATGAGGACTGACCTGCTTACATAGTAATAAGCACACTCAGGAACAGGTAAACAATGTTTTGACTTTGAAGATGGGGCATACAATAAAACAGTGCTGAGTGCTGCAGAGTTTCCTTTCAGTGTCCATTAAGGATGAAAGCTAACTGCTGCAAACATAAGTGTCAAGTTATCCTTTATTATCCCCAACAATAAAGGTTATGTTGACTGCATTATTTAAAAAAAATCATACATACTTAATTCATATTCATGTTTCTTTGTTTTCCTACTTTGTCTTTACTATAAAACTCTCTTACATAAATCTATAAACCATGCCAAAATAAATGCCAAATCCTGACTTTTCCTTTAACAGTTTTGTACAGTTTCTCCAGTATCACTGGCTGTAGACTAACACATGCCTTCATGATAATATTTCTTCTACATAACACTCCTATTAGCAGGATTGTCTGTACTGTTCATGTACATATGGCCATTAAAAAAATACTAATTTCCCCATTTTCTGATCTGCCACTGCTATGGTAAAGATTTGCTTATAGGCACTAAAACTATTTGTGTTGACCATTGGTAGAAAACATGAAACAAACACTCACTACTTAAACTCACTTGTTGTTGATTTGTTGACACTTCCATCAACAGCAACCACCTCCCTACAAGGTTTTGTGGGTCTAAGGATGAATTGGCTCAACATTGTTGTATTGAGTCAGTTCATCCTTTTTTCCTGACAGACAGGAGTCATAATTCATACAGCCACTAGAGGTCCTTGTCAAGTAAATTGGTCATGCTAGGCCTTTTGCTATCTTTCCCCAAAAACGTAGGGTTAGGCCTTCATTAACCAGTAGGAATCGCTAGTACATGATCTCTTGCTTTCCCCCTGTAAATACTTCCAGTTTGGTTCTTTGGGGCACTCGGCTATGCGGCAGGCACTGATAACACAACTATGGTCGAGTGTTTTGCTTCATCCAGAAGTTCCTTTATTTTTCTAATGTAATTTATTGTAAATTATTCCTGTCATGTACTTGCAGTGGCATGACTGCCTCTCACACAAAGATCCAACTCTGTAATTGTCATACAAATAAATGTATCCATTACTGTATAATCATCTGTGAGGGTAGAGCAGGTTTAAGACAGTGTCAAACTGCTCTCATTACATTCTGCTTGATTGCATGAACACTCTGACCCTCTACTCATCTGACATATAATTAGCCCAAGTTGTTAACCACTAACACTGACCAAGTAAGACCCCATTCTGTGTACATTTTCATTATTTCTTCACCAGCCAGTAGGTTAAATTCATGCACATGCTGGTCCCATGACCTCCCTGTGTATGTATCTTTTCTTGTACATGTCATTTTCATTTCAAAGTTTTTAAAGTACATCTTACTTGCAGACATGGCAAGAGATATGAAATTGTTTTCCATTTTCAATTTCACTTTTACAAAGAATAGAAAAGGATTTCAAGGGTTTTTTTGTTTGTTGTTTTGCAATTTGATTATATAATCAAATTTAGAATATTGGACAAAAGAGACAAATCCCCAGCAACCTGACACACCGCAGCTAGTAATAACAGCAGGACTGTACTGAACGTTTTTAGAGATTTTAGCAGAGCTTACAGCTGTCATGGCTCTGCCCCTCTCCTGCTCCCTTTGCTCCTCCTCCTTCCGTGTGTGTGTGTGTGTGTGTGTGTGTGTGTGTGTGTGTGTGTGTGTGTGTGTGTGTGTGTGTGTGTGTGTGTGTGTGTGTGTGTGTGTGTGTGTGTGTGTGTGTGTGTGTGTCTAATTAGGGTGCGGCCTCCATTCACCTCACCTGTGCGCTGTCTCACCTGCTCTCAATCATTCATTAGTCTCAACCCTCAAAAACCCCGGTCTCCCCTTCATTCGGGGGCCAGATAAGTAGTCAGTAGACTTGGTGGTACGCCTGTGCCTCCTCTCAGTCAGTAGCTAGTTCCATGTGGTTTTCCTGTACCTGCTCTCCCCTGGGATCCTATCTCTCCAGAGTTTCAGGGATCTATCGCTCCAGAGTTTCAGGGATCTATCGCTCCAGAGTTTCAGGGATCTATCGCTCCAGAGTTTCAGGGATCTATCGCTCCAGAGTTCCAGGGATCACTCTCCTGCAGTTTGGGTTCCAGAGTCAGCTCTCCTGTGTCTCTGTGTCTTCAGTCACTCTCCCTGAGTCCATGCTGGTGGCTCTGGTCGGTTCCCCAGTGCTTCCGTGTCTTCAGTCTCCCTGCCGATTCTCCAGCCCATTCCGGCCGAGGCCACCCCTCATCCCTCCCAGTGTGTGTTAATAAAGCCCCTTAAAACCCTTCATCCCGTCTGTGTGTCCGCTCCTGGGTCCAGCCATAACACTATCCCTGACAACAGCTACAAAGCTGGAACATTTGAACTTTTTAAAAATCTTTTTTTGGACAGGAAGTGAGGTCAAACCTTCAGCTCTCTGTTACATTTTAGGTGTTCAGCTGATGCTTTTATAGGGAATTACTTATACAATGCAAGGGTCAAAGCCATGTGACCTGTGCCATGTGTTCATAAGTGTATTAAATTCCTACCTAGTTCTGTCTCCATAGATAAATGGACACTGTTTGCCAGTAATGCTAAAAAATTGGATTTAAGTGTACCTAGGACAGCCACTGAAAAACTACTGATGCCTGTTTTTTCTGGTGCTGTCTGTTAACTCTCCCCTCTCATTTTTGTACAATTTTAACTCCACTGCCAATGCACTTCAAGCAGGAGATCTTTTGCGTGGGCAATTCAATGCTGACAAGATAAGACGGGAAATCTCACAAAGCACAGTTCCTGTGTATCATCGGCTATGATAAAACATGCTGTTCTGCTGCTGATTGTCAACCCTCCTACGGATCTCAGCCTCTTATACTTGCTGAGAGTAATTTACATTCAGTAGCCTGATAATTGGAGACCACTGTATACTCACAAAGCCTCTGCATGAGCATGTTGGTGAACCCAAAAATAGGACATACATTTGCTTCAGATTTCACCACACAAATGCCTCAGAATGATAGTTATTTGAGATAGCTTTGGTACAAATAAACTGATTTCTTATATCATATACATTTTGCGGAATACTTACTGGGACTTGGTTGTTTTTGTTTTAAAATAAAGGTAGCAAAATTGGTTAGCACTAACAATTTGTGCTTTATGTGAGCCTACCTAGGTGGAATTAGGAGTACATACCTGTGAAGTTGACATTGCGGATGTATTTTAGCAGCAGTGTGCCGTTGATGGTTTCCATCTTGGAGCAGAGGCCGACTTTTCCAGGACAAAGATCTTTGTGCATGTTATGTAGGGCATGAGCCGTGGCGTACACTGCGTCAATCACAAACTGAACCTTCCCCTCTTGTTCGTAGGATGAATCTTTCCCAATCCGCTCGTGGTCTAGAAGGAAACATTAACAACACAAAAATTACACATTGAAATTTTGCCCCATTGGGACTGACTTGATGAATTTGAAAATACTGCAAACAATATGATCACTAATTTAGTTGAACATATATATGTTCCCATCTGTGTTTTACTGGCTGAGTCATTGCAATCATGACAGGCAATCAAGACTAAAATATTTGATATGACATAATATTCAGAACAAAAAAGCTGCTCTACAATCAATCAAAAATGTAAGAACAGTGATTGCTAGATGTGTAAAATCAAGCAAATGATAGCCTTTCAAGAGGCCTGATTACTCAATTGTGAACCCATCTTTTTTTGCCTTATTTAATTTATTTAGAGATTGGCATTGAATTGTGCATGTTAACAACTAATTATATGCTATTTATTCTAGACATCAATCACAGAATCTCCTCTCACAAAATCCAAAATGGTCACATGTGCAGCCTTTCTCATTATGGTCTGTCGATCACTGATTAGACCCACTCAAGATTATTCCACAAGACTCTTTTTGTGTCATATATCTTAATCTGCCTTTTGCGATGCAGCTAACAGCCTTTGTAATACTGTGTGGCCTCATGCAAAGATCTTAAGATAATTGCAATAGGCAAAGGGCCCCTTAATACAAACATACATTGGAAATGTGCTTTGATAATCGAGGGAATCTTTTCCGAGTGCTCTCTGGTCTTGTATCATCTCTTAGTGTTTATCCTCACAAAGTCACGTGCCACCTCACATCAATTAATCAAGAGCACAGAGTGTGATAGAGTGGTAGAGGAGGAGTGGAAGACACAGCAAGACAGGCCTAATCATTCTTCAATATTAATGTAATTAGTTATGACAGGTGTATATTAATCATAGCTGGGGTTGTACTAATGCTTTTAAACTGTGTTAACCGCCATGCAAGGTTTCAATTAGCAGTTTAATCATTTTTATTATCCAATGCCCTGCTAGATATCATGACCAGAAAGAGTGAGAGCAGGACATTGTTACTGCTTTAGGTAATATACGCCAACAGCATGAACAGACCAATATTAAAGAGCAAGATTGGAAAAAGTTTCAACCTTTAAAAGTAGCTTGAGTAGAAAGACACCCATTTTCAGACATGTACATTAACATACATGTACATCACATTAAATTAATCTGATCGTTATTGTAAGTCAAGATGGCGATCTTACTAGATCATACTTAGTAACCTTTCCAAATCACTTTCTACATGGCACAAAGTCTGAATTGCATACCATCAAATATAAAGTCTGCGGCTGCGCACAGGTTAAACATGCAGAGAGACAAAAAGAGATGCAGTTCTTCTTCCATCCTTTAAGATCACTCTGTATGTCAGTCATCATCTCTTATGCACAAATAAACTAATATCAGTTTAATAGACAACAGTTTATTGTGAAAAACCCAATGTTCAGTTTCTTCTCAGATCAGCAAAACTATTTTTAAAAGAGTAAAAATAGTGTGACCGGGGAAAAAGAGGTTAAAAAAACCCTCATATAACCACAGTATCAGATCTGCACTTACTCCCTATAATTTCTTTTTTATTCCAACTCAATTAATAAATCAGTATCCAGCAAAACGCTTTACATACAGCATGTTAGCTAATAGGAATGAAACAAGAATCCCATCTTAACATCCTGTCATTTAACGCTTTTGAAATGACAGAATGTATAAAGCAGGCAGAAAAAAAATCACTCTAATAACTTGATAATTAAATGGATTAATTTTCATTCTAATTATCAAAATATATCAGTGAATTCACTGTGAGAAGCAGGAGAGTGTCTCTTGCACTCAAGGACGATGGTCATTAATCAAGGCTTCAACGCCAAAATCAGTTTTAAAATCCATCAGTGGTGTAGCCTGTGAGAGAACAGAAAACATCTTCTTCCTTGCTATCATTACATTTTTTAACTCACAGCTGTTCTCTGTCTGCATGAACATTGTGGCTAAATGTGCTGTCATGTTTGAATGAAGCCGTAAGGAACAGTTGTGTGAAAGGACATATATGTTGAATGACAAAAAGCCATCACGTTGAATGCATTTATATATTTACAGCAGCACATTTTGCTTGTTAGCTTGTTAATTCGGTTTTGTTAAAAACTATAAGAACAACTAAGGTATAAATGCAAGTTATGACCAATTAATAATTATGTAACTGTCCTTATGCCTTGTCATAATTACAAACCTAAATGAAGGTAACCTTTTGTTTAATACTGACAAATGAGTTATCCGTAACCTCTACATAAGTTGAACTCCTCACAACTTGATTTTTAAAGCTCAAATAAACTGTGAGAGAATTGGCAGGACAAGAACAGAACAAACACTCACAATATCACACTAAAGTTCAATCACAGATTTTAGTGCTGGTGCAACTGCGATGAGGAGGGTTCCGTAAATATAGACACTCCATGTGGACTGCATAACCTTTTATCTGCAACCCATTTGAACAGTTTTTCCTTCATTCTAATGTGTTGATTTCCTTTCTCAATGAATGCAACAGGAGTACAAGCTAGATTCTTGCAATGTGACAGAGAAGTCTTTTGAGCGACATGTAGCCACGTTTTAAAAGCATGTGAATTACAGAGCATTGCAAATGTATCCGCCTTGGAAATTACATATTTTGTAAGCAGAGACAGGAAAGACAAGTGATGAAGCTGAAATTGCAGATTTGACACTTCTTTATTCTTTGTGACAATGTCTTAAAGGGAAACTGACAATTTCATATAAGATATTTTTGGGGCCTTTTTTTATGCCTTTATTTAATAGCTCAGGTGGAGATAGTCAGGAAAGGGGGGAAGGGAAGGGTTAAAAAGGCCAGTGTCATGGTGAGTGCGTGGCTTTCCACTAGAGGTGTTGAAATGAATCAAATAATCGATGCATCGCGATGCAGACAAGGACGATGCTGCATCGATGCAGTGGCCGACCATAAACGATTATCACGCAATGATGTAGCTCGTTAATTTTTCGGCCGCGGCATAAACATTCAAATGAAAAACAACATTCTCCCGTTTCATCTAGACCTATGATAGACTCTAGTCTCATCCGGGTCTCATTTACCTGACGTCATTTGTCGAAATTCTTTCGTTCATATCGAATTTTGTGTTGTGTATAGCCCCTTTCACACTGCCCAAAAAACCTATGTAAAGTCGTTAACACCCGACATTAATCGGCTTCACGTCCGATCGGCATTGATGTGAACATCACACCCGCCATGACGCCATCGGTAACTGCTGTTCCCTCACCAGCTGTACTAAAGATACCTCTCGCGTGTAGCTAGCTAGCTAGAGCTAGAGTGAAGGGGCTTTTATTTTGGAATTGGACCTGAAGCATGTATCGAACCAGGGCCGCGGCGGTGAGAGCCCCGAATCCTAACCACTACACCACCAGTGCTGGAGGATGTTTGTATATTATATTAGTGATAGTGAGATGGTAAGGAGTGTGAATCTGACACCATTAAAGTCGGTATTGGTGAAAGATGACAACAGGCATGGCATGGCACTGTTATATGGACTATGTGTGAAAAGTGTGTATGATGTGGCTCTTTGCAGTAACACAGTAAAATATTTGGCTCTTAGTCTCTGACTGGTTGTTATGTTTTGCACATTCAGGAAGTGCCATGTGCTCAGTGCTGTAGTTTTATGTATCCAATGTATTTAGAATTAAAACACTGCAGAATGTTTAAAAAGCTATGAAAAAGCTATGAAAAGTGTGTGTGTGTGTGTGTGTGTGTGTGTGTGTGTGTGTGTGTGTGTGTGTGTGTGTGTGTGTGTGCTGTCTGCTGTGTTCAGACTCTTAAATAAAAAAGATTGTTTATATCTTACTACTTGTATTTTTGGATGAAAACAACCATATGAAGTAATATAGAAAACTGTATTATATTGAACTATACAGTATCCTTAATGCATTCCGTCAAGTCAAATATCCTATATGGCTTTAATAGAAAAATGTATTTGACGCATCGTGATGCACCGAGGAATCGAATCGAATCGCTGACATGATAATCGTAATCGAATCGGGAGATCAGTGACAATTCACAACTCTACTTTCCACACACTATATGCTGCCCCATCAGGTCTGGAAGAATTGCATCTCCAGTACTTAGGGTAATGTAGAAAAACAAGTACTGTTGTGTTTTCAGAATTTTGGCATCAACTTAGTATCAGTTTTTGTGACATCCCTATTAGAATATGGGCAGTATACTGTATGCAAATGAGCAATGTTCACTTTCACATAACATAAACATTGTTAATTTGTATACACAACCCACATTGTAATGATACAGAGCTGAAAATAAGCAAAATTTCTGTTTAGAGCTTATTAATGTCAAGATGCCCTAGTCTTTATGTATTAATGTTCCTACCACAGTGGCCCAGGTTTGATTCCAACCTGCAGCCATTTGCTGCATGTCATCTCCCCCTACTTTTCTTTAAATAGTCTTTTTTAAGAGCTTATTAAAGGCAAACCACAAGACTGACACCCTGTAGTAGAGGATCATTTGCATCAGCTCAGTAGATGGTCTATATCCGTCTGTTCCCTTGTGCTTTGAAGGTTGATGCTTTTTTAGAATAATGAAATCCACTGATTTTGAACTCTACCCAGCTTGAGGGGAAATAAATGTTTGGAAATTGGGTAATTTGTATTACAGCACCTCATTTCATCTGTACCATCAAAGAATGTCTTGAAAGAGTAAGAGTCTGAATAATAGCTCATGTCAATAACACATAATGTGGAAAAAGTGACTTTAATCAATTTGGTGTGCTAATGAGTATGCTCTGGTGAAAATTGGCCCCACTGTGCGTTTTCGTAATTACTGAAGAGTTGTTATTGCTCTGACATTTTGTAATAATCCTACATGAATATATAACTTAAATGATCTGCTTACCTGTCATCAAGGGGATAGTATTTAAGTTATTTGCACCATTTCTTTCAATTAAGGTTAACTTCCATGTTACTGAACAAACACTTGGCCTTTTTCACTGTCTCATTCA